AAGCAATAAATCCTTGATGAAATTTGTACAAAATGGATGTGTTTTTTACAGCACCCAGCACAGTGAGGGGCTGGTGCACAACAAGGGCTCCCAGGTGCTACCATAATGCAAATTATCGTGATCTTTATCTCAGGAGGCAAATTTTTTTGCATGTGGTAGCAAAGAATTCTGCAAACACTTCAGATGTGGTTCTTCCTTGTTACCTATGTCATAAGTGAACCTTTGTGTATATTATCATGCTGCCAAAATCCTGGCTCATTATCACATGCTTATATAAGGAATTAACTTCTCGGCACATACCTAGACACCTTGTGTGCTAGTAAAATGATTGCTATAACACACCCAGCAGGGATACAGCTAATGAAAGGAAGTTTATCTCGTGTTCACAAACCCCCAGCAAAAGAGGGAACAGACAGGCAATTTTGTTCAAGAATCATGAAGGCTGTAAATGAAACTGGCAAAAGTTTATGGGATTCAGGGAGCAGCAATACCTCCTCCCCCTGCCAAAACTAGTGAAGGTTGTGACAAGATGGCCAATGTTCATATGGTGGGTCCTGCGCTTTTCTTGGGGAGGGGGCTAATATGCCACCCTTTGCCCCTGCTCTTGGGTGCCGAGGGCCCCGCTAGTGGCCCGGGAAGGTGGTAGAGGAGGGAAGCAGGGGAGGAGTCTGGGTTTGCTTCTCACTCTGAATCCCAGCCCCTCTCAACCCCTGCGGGTTTCTTACCCTCAGTCTCTAGACACTGGTGGGGAATCCATCCATCCTCTGACTGCCTGAAGCAGGGGGTTTTATTAGGTTCCTGACAGAGATTAATTGATTACAGGTGCTCCAGTTAACCTGTAGCAACCCTCCCTAGTCTACAGGGAACCACGCCTTAATTAGCCTAGGGTTTATATAGTTCCCCTCTACCACTGCTCCCTGGCCCTCCTGTATCAAAAGGAGTTGAAGGTATTGAGTTATGAAGGGAGATTAAAAGAGCTAAGTGCCAAATTCTGCTTTCCAAAATTCTGACAAGCTTCAGTGGGAGGTGCTGGTGCTCATCTGAGGACAGAATTTGGCCCAACAGTATTCAAAGTGTGCAAACACCAGGGCCGGTGCAATGCAATGTTGGGGCAAGGGGTTACAGCTTGAAATAATGGAAGGAAATTGATCTGTTGGTCAGCTCCAGATTGGACTATGTACAGTGCACAAATAGCTAGGGCTGTGTCTGGAGACTCCATGAAACTTCAGCCAGCACGTAATGTAGCTGCTCACTTGCTCGGGCCATGTCTACACTTAAAACACTACAGCAGCTGTGCTGCTGTAGCACTTCATTGTTGATACTCACTATGGTGTGGGAGGGGTTTTCCTGTCACTGTAGTTAATCCATCTCCCCGAGAGGCAGCAGTTAGGTTAACAGAAGAATTCTTCCATTGAACTAGCGCTGCCTAAACTGGGAGTTAGGGTAGCTTAGCTGCATTAAGCCAATGTAGCTGGGTCAACCTAACTTTTCAGTGTAGACCAGCTTGTCTACACAGGGATACTTAGAAAAGTCAATCTGAATTAACTAAAGCTGCAAATTTAAAGTGGATTCATTAAACCCCTATCTGGGTGCTCTTTTTCAGAATTAAAGGGGCCTTAATTTGGTTTAAGTAATCCACTTGAAAAGTTAATTCAGGTTAACTTTTCTGAGCAACCCCCTGTAGACAAGTCGTTAGTGCTGATTCTTGTAAGGAGCACAACACATCTGTGATCTGCACTTTACTTCCAGATACAATTCAAGTTGTTTTTGATCTACAAATTCCAACTGTTTTTCATCTTGGCTACCTTAGAAACCATTCTCTCCCAGTGTGATCCTGCACCGAGGCTCTGGAGCGAACGACCCCCTTGTTTAGGCCGTAGTACTTTGGTGGCAGGTATTTTCGATGAGGAGATCTCGACTCAGGATGTTGCTTCCCCTACTTTGATCCGAGTCAATTGGCCTTAAAGGCTTATCTGTTTTCCCAGGCCTTTGAGGAGGAGATGGGTTGAAGAAGGTGTACACGAGTTAAGGGAGCAGGGGGATTACCCCAATGGGTTGGACAAATGAAGAAGAGCTTGTTATATGATGAGAAGTTAAAGCTTAGGCTCCATTTTCAAAAGCAGCATTTAATTTGGGATACCTCCATTTTAGGTGCCCAACTTTAGATACCTTGGACCTGATTCTTTTTTTTTAAGGCTGTCAGCAACCAGCTTGCCTTGCCACCCCTTCACTAATTCAGAGAACAGCTTAGTTGCTTGCATAGACGAAGCCACCATGACAGAGAGCGTGACAGAGACCAGGCAGCACGTACTCTCAATCACACTTCCTGTAACAGTGTTGACAACGGAGCTGGCTCATCTTCCTTAGCATTAGATGAAGGGGTCTAACAAAGGGAGTATCCGACGCTGACAACCATTGTCATCCATGGGTGCTGCCCTAGGCAGATGGATCTGAAATGGATGCTCTCAGCAATTTTTATGCCTTGCAAAACAGCACGGTCGGTACATACCACTGAAAAGAAGTGACTCTAACGTAATTAGCACTTTTATTTTTGGGTATATCACAGTGTGCCATTCCATTGATGCAAGCTAGAACAGAGCAGCCTGGCACGTACTGCCTGTGGCCTGTAATAATTGCTGCTCATACGATAGCCCTTCTGGTCCAAGGGAGTTATAAGCCTGCTACTCAGTTTTCAATCACATCTCATGGCCATACAGGGAGCATATCAAAATATGCTCAAATGGATTTCCTCAACTTTCATTTTTAGTTCCTCAGAACAGAGTGTTTTTCACTTGAGGATTAATTTCTCTTCAGTGAGTCTCTTGCTTAGTTTTCTTGCTCTATAGGGCTTCATAATACAAACAACTTTTTTTTTTCCACAAGATCAACACTTTTTCCCCCAAGGGAGCAATACCAAAAAACCAAGTACCCATAATTACAATATTGAGAATACAGCTTCCTTTTTGGAAATAGATGCCACGTACATAGATTGTCGTAGAAAGTATTTGGTATGCTCTGCGATAAGCAGATTAATTTTTAATGCATGATGTTTAGAGAAATAGATCGACTGTGGTACTTGGACAGAGACAAATACACCGTTGAAATCATAGGAGCAATCTTTGTCAGTTATGGTGCCCTTGCTCTGCTGATAGATGCCCACAGAACTGTATGTGGGCAGATGTTGTGACAGGTCATCCTTTACTCTTCAGTCTTATTGGATTTCAGGATCAGAAAATTGGATCAATCTTGGTGCTTTTGGTCTCACTGAAATGTCTCTTATAAATCTCAAAACATTTATCCTTGTTCTAATCTCTGTCACTGAGCAGTCACATTCAAAAGGCAAATCTTCTTAGGAGGCAGATAAATGCTCTGAAGTAGTGGAGGGATTTTACCCTTTTTTTGAAGGGTGAAATTTCCTTTAGTGCAAGGCTTAGGCACCACTTATGCCCCATGGGTCCCCCTGCTGGCCCTCTGCACAGGGCTGACTCCCATTCCATCAATACAAATGTCCCAGTAGGCACCACACAAGGCCCCATCCTGTTTTCATTGACATCTATTGCAATGCTCCTATTGACTTCAACAGGAGCTGCAGCCAGCCCATCAACAGCAATACACTGTTACCAATACCAATAATTTGAACCTCCTGCCATACACTGAAAGATGTCTTGATTCTTACATGTATTTCTTGAACTTGAACTTAATGCTTGCAAATCGGCCCAGGCACTGAAGTCCTCCCACCCAGGTACAGGTAGAGCAAGGGCAGTAACGCAAGGAAAAGCTCCAGATAAATCAGTCGTGGTGTTTGTGCATCGTGGGACATTTGAATAGTGAGCAGGGGCTGGTGAGGATGCTAATCCTTGGGCTACAAGTGATGAGGGAGCTCCTCCCCCTCCAGCTGTTTTCGGTGAGCTCTTGTGCAGGACCCGGTCTGGTAAGCTGGTTTAGCGCACGCCTACTGGCCCAGGCCCCGCAGGTGAGCTGAGCAGAGGAATGCCTGTGTTCCCCTGGACTGGGCATCACTCTGCAGTTTAGGTGCCCTAGTGACTGGCGTGGGGTTTCAGTGTACATGCACAGAAGCAGAAACTTGGGGACCTGCAGAACCTTTACTGCAAAAATTCAGGCACTAAGGCAGTTTAGACACCTCCAGCATTTGGGGGCAGCTGAGTGGGGGTTTTGTGGGGACTGATGCTGTGATTTAGGCACCTGAAGTGGCAATTAGGTGCCTAAGTCCTTTTGTGACTCTAGCCCTAGAATTTTTCCATAATTTTATGAAATTGTGGCTGTGTCCAAAACCTGCTGCTGATAGGTTCTGTAGAGATGTAGACAGCACAGGCTGTATCCTGGTGAGCTTATAAGCAAAGCGCCTGATTGTTCAAGCAGATCTAAAACACCAGCGCTTTTTTAACAATCCCTTAGGCCCCCGCCCTGCAGTTTAAGCTGTACAGGCAGACGCCTGCATCCCATTGACTTCAGCTGGATTCTGTGGGGGTGTAAAAGGTTGTCCACATGGAGTCCCATTGAAATCTACAGAGCCTCACATGGGTGCAGGGCTCTGTCTGCATGGATTGGATCGCAGGGTTGGGAGGGGAAGAGTGGCAGAGGGTTTCAGTGTGCAGAAGAACCTCTTCTGTATCACTTCTGTGGCAAGTCTGATCTGGATGACTAGAATCTTCTTCTGATGTCACAGCTGGAAAGAACTAGCCACAAGAGTGACAGAGAGAGAGAGGGGCTGCTAAAAAGTTTGAAATACTGTATGATGTTGGCTGCTCATAAACTTGTCTAGGAAAAACAGGTGAGTGTAAATAGAACCAAAGTCCACACCATCAGGCTCCCTTTAACCTCTTCATCCCCAAGTCATCTGCAGGGGGGGTGCCTGTAGGGGTAGTGCTAAATGTGGAATGCTTCAACTGAAAGGAAACACATTCATTTGAGTGCTCTGTAGTTATCCCCTGCTGAGTGCTTCCATGCCAACCATAGGTGTTGTGTTTGGGCTTTTTTAGGTCAAATGGCAGAAGGATGACCTGGACAATAATTTGAACTTCTTCTCCATCTCTTCAGATGGGCGGATTGTATCATGGACTTTAGTTAAGGTAAATGTTATGCTGTGATATTTTCTCCCTTGCCGAATTGAAGCAAATTATTTGTAAAGTTCAATAGTGCACTTGATATATTATTGCTTATGATCTCAGCCACCTTGTCTCTCTCATTATTATATCTTTTATTGGACCAACTTCTGTTGGGAAGACCCAGACCTGAAGAAGAGCTCTGCATAGGTTGAAAACTTCTCTCTTGCCAACAGAAGTTGGTCCAAGGAAAGATATTACCTCCCCCACCTTGTCTCTTTCATGTTCTGAGACCAACACGGCTGCATCAACACTGCAAACAACAGTGTTATAATAATGAGTTAGGCATAAAAAGAAGAGGTTGTTAATGATCAACAGTGTAATAGTTCCAGTGTGAGCCTTTAACTTGTCATTGAGTTTTAGTATTAAACTACTTGAAGTGAACAGGGACAGCCCACACCTCTCTGAGCACCAAACCCTGCGTCCTGCATGCAGCATTGGTAAACAGGCTGCATGCAGATCAGTGGTCTCTTAGGGGGAGGGGTTGTCTTCCACCAGGTTGCTTTGAAGCTGCCAGAATCTAGTGTGATTCTTTGCACAGAACACCCACCGTTAATGAGAGAGCTCACTGTAAAATGGACCTAGCCTGTCTCTTTCAATTTTTCCCTCCACTACAAAAAAAATCACCCTTTTAGGAAATGATTAGCTAAAGAGTTCAGATTTGTGAAATCCAGGAAGTGATTGGGAAGGGCCTCAACTTGCTCAGCAACTCAACTAATTTTTCCTTTTGAGGGTGCAATTTAGGAAAAGAGGTTTGGCAGTTTGTCCCAAAAACCTCAATACTTCTCTTCGCGTTGGCACAAAATAAAAAATGGCTTCTTGCTTGAGGATTTCAGTGTCTTTTATTTTACAGTCAACTGGATAACCTTAAGATACATAGAAGCTTAAAGCTTTAGAGCTACATCCTCAGGGAAGGAAAGAAATTTCTTTATAAGGGTTCTCCTGTTGGCATAGGTAACCCACCGCCCTGAGAGGTGGTAGGTAGATCGATGGAAGAATTCAATTTCGGGGCATTTATCTGCCTCATCTCTTTCATATTGGTGGAGTTGGGCACAGTGATAGCACTGTCAGTTAGTTAGAAATAGGCAAAATCACTCCAGCAAACTTCATGAAACATCAGAACGTGTGTTTCATGAGGGTGTTCCCCGTAATCCTAGCCTGTCTCTGGAATATTGAGCCACTAGGCGGCTCTGCTCTGTCCCTGAAATGTTGTGCAGAAGGTCTGCAGTTAGATCAGTGGGTTTCACTGGCTGGGACCTTATCATTCGGGGGTTGGACTAGTTGACATCCTGAGGTCTCTTCCAACCCTAATCTTCTATGATTCCCTACCAAAAGCAACAGTTGTGGGAATGACAGCAAAGATCTGATTGGCTAGTTGATGCAGTCTGATTAAGGTCCAGGACTAGGAGTCGGAGCTCCTGGGTTCAATTTCCAGCTCTGATACAGACTTCCTGTGTGATCTTGGGCCAAATTACTCAACTGCTCTGAGTCTCATCTGTAAAATGGGGATAATGGTACTTCCCTCCTTTAAGGGAAGCATTTGAGGCTTACTTCACTAATGATTGTGAAGTGCTCTAAGATTATTAAATTAACATACTACTGTTGTTGGGTATTCCTGGAAGTGCATTGGACAGAGATTGGCAACAGTTTCTTTTCCCTGTGGAATTTCTGAATGGCTTATGCAATGAACAAGCTCCAGGAATATATTGTCAGGGACCACAGGTCTCAAACCTCAATCCACAGGGTGCTTAAGAGCTTGTAAATTCCAACCTGCCACCCCATGATGGGCTATTAATCACCAAAACTAGAAGCTTTACTCCAACCTAGGACTTCAGTCCTGGGATCTGATTGGTGGAGCTCTGAGGGTTCTGATGGGTTCCTTGCTTCTATTTAAAGCAAGCATAGGAACAGGAAGTTGCCCATGCAACTAGGTTTACTCTGCTTAGGACTGCTTCCCTTGCGCTACATGCTGCAACTGCCTGTTTCTGATTTCCTGGTAACCTGACCCTTCCTGACACCTGCCTCAGTCTGCCCTCTGGTCTGTCTTGAACTCTGATCTCCTAGTATCTGACCCAGCCTGTCTCCCGACCCCTGCTCCAACCACTAGGTCAGACTGCCAACAATCTGGCCATGACCATTTGAATGGACCACTTAGCTCACAGGAGTGAGCCTGGAGCTGGTCACAGCAGAATGGACTTGGCTAACCCTTCAGGAGCACTGGCCCCACTTGAGTGGTCCGCCCGCCTTCAGGTGGACAACCAAGCCCTGCAGGCCCAGGTCATCCAGCTGACCTCGCATAACCAGCTATTGCAGGAGCAAGTCAGACAGTTGCATGCTGAAAAAGCTGCACTCCAGACATGGCTCACGCAGCCCTGTTACACGATGCATCTGCCAGAAAAGTTTGGTGGTAATTACCAGCGATGCCGGGGTTTTACAAACCAGTGCCACCTCCTGTTCGTGATGCCTTTCTCAGTTCCACACTACTGGTTATAGAAAGGTGATTCTGGTTATCAGCCTGCCGTCCGGGCAAGCATTAGACTGGGCCCTTGGACGCTCCATCTCAACCTTGTGCAGCACTTTACCGGAGAATTACCGGAATCCAACAAATTTACAACGGTCTTGACAGTAGGGGGCTACTTTACCAAAATGGCCCACTTCATCCCCTGCACAGGCTTCCTTTCTGCTGAAGAGACAGCCCAGCTATGGATTAGCGATCCCGTCCGCCTCCACGGCCTTTCAGAGCGCATCACCTCCTACCAAGGGTGTCAGTTCATGGCCTGGTTCTGGCGCAAGGCCTTGTGCCTGCTGGGGGTCCGCACATGTCTTTTCTGCACTTACCATCCCCAGTCAAATCCTCAAGCAGTATCCGTGACATTACATCACTCATTGCCAGTATAGTTGGTCCTCACGTCTCCCTTACCCAGAGGTTGCATAGCCACATGGTCTGCATTGTTGTACGGTCAAAGCTCCATTTTTTATCAACTATGGGTATCACCCCCGATTCCACCTGCAATTACCCCCATCCTCTCCCAACCCAGTTGTCTCAGCCCTAGTACAGTGGATTTCTCGGGCTCAGAAACAAGTGAAAGAACAGCTGGTCAAAGCAAGAGCAGACTGTATGCAGACCAGTATTGATACCAAGGGCCCATCTGATCAGTGGGACAAAAGGTATGGTTCTCCACAGAGCATATCCACACAGACAGATCTGCTCTCACGCTGGACTTTTGGTTCCTTGGCCCTTTTAGGATCCTGTGACATGTTAATCCAGTCACGTTTGTATTTCAACTACCTCGCTCTCTGAAGATTCACCCTGTGTTTCATGTATTGCTTTTGAAACCTACACGGAAAACCCTTTCCCTCACAGGACACAGCCACCTCTTCCACCAGTACAGGGTCAGGGCCATGAGGAAGATGCCCCAGTGGGAAATCTAAACATTGCATGAAAACATCCAACCTCAGGCCCTGGTGCTCACTAATTTAAACTTTAATTCCTTGTTCTTTTTATCACACACACCCCCCACCCCAATTTATTCTCATTCATTACGAGCTCTCATTATGCAGAAATAGTTGAATTCCTGAATAGACTCTAACAGATTGTTGCACTATCTCATTGTTTCATTATTATTTTTTCTTTCCTTGTATTCCCCCCGTCTGTCTGTCTGTCTCATGTGTTGTCTCTTCTCTTATACGCAGATAGTTCCTACCCTAAAGAATTTACAGTCTTTTTGTTCTGTGTTTGTACAGAACATAGTGTGGTCCTGATATGATTAGAGCTCCTAGACACTATGATAATACAAACAAAAATATATGTAGCATTTATTTCGGAGGGGGAAACACCTACCTGTGTGTTGCTGACACTTGGTTCTCAAACTGTGAATGTTAAGCTGCATGTTACCTTGATGATAACAGGGAAATTTTAAAGCACAGCCAAGGTGCTAACAGGGCCGGATTAACCTTTTGTGGGCCCGGCACCAAACATATTTGTGGGCCCCCCTGGGGGCAGTGGAGCATGGCGCTGGGAGATCAGTCCCCTGAGCGAAGGGCCAGCCAGGGCAATGGGGCATGGCATGGTGGGGGCGGCCCTGTTCTGCACAGCCCAGCGCGAGGGCACTGTTTACAAACTGGCAGTCACCAGATGCAGGGGCGGCAAGTTATATGGGCCCATGGTCCCCGTGCTCCAGGAATATTTAGGGCCCAGAGGCCTGGCTCCACCAATATTCGGGGCCAGGTGTCTCTCCTGGCCCCGCCTGTTTCCCCTGCGCACCTCCCCATGAACATCTCCTGGCCCCGGCTGTTGCCCCAGGGCGAATTAAAAGGGTTCAGGGGCCCCTGGCCGCTGCCACCACCACCGGTAGTGCGGTGGGGCGAAGGCAGCTTCCTGCCAGCCCTTGCTCCGCACCACTCCTGGAAGCGGCTGGCACATCCCTGTGGCCCTGGGTGGGGTGTCTCCGTGCGCTGCCCCCACCATGAGCACCAACTTCATAGCTCCCATTGGCCGGGAATTGCAGCCAATGGATGCTGCGGGGGTGGTACCTGTGGGCAGCAGCACAGAGCCCCCCCCACTGCCCCCCGCCTAGGAGCCACTGCCAGAGGGGTGTGCAGGTCGCTTTTGGGAGCTGCCCAAGGTAAGCACCGCACTCCTCACCCTCTCCTGCACCCCAACTCCATGCCCCAGCCCAGAGCTTGCACCCAGCACCCAAACTCCCTCCCAGAGCCTTAAGCAGGTGAGTGTGGTGGGGGCGGGACTTGGACCTGTTCTGGGCACCACCAAAAATTATACAAACCTGCTGCCCCAGGGCAGAAGCACACTGGCCTGCCTGGCCTTATGCTGCCAGAGGGCCCCTTCCCCTCAGGGGCAGGACCATGCCACACCATGCAACCCTCCACCCAACTCCCCCGATTCTGTATGCCCAGTGCCCCACAGACTGCCTCACCACAAATGCACAGCGCCCTGCACACCACTATCCCTGACTACCACCCCTGCCCAAATCCCACCACAACTGCCCAGCACCAGACCCAGAACTCCCCCCGCAGTGCCCCAACACACACAAACCTCCCCCACTACCCAGCTCCTCCCGCCCCCTCACAGACCCACTCCCCCACACCCTGCCCCCCGGCCGCACTCACTGGCACTGCTGAGCCAGCACAGAGCAGGGATCCCCGCTCCCAGCACAGTGCTAGGAGGCAGGACAGCTGAAGCCCGGAAGCACAGAGCAGCCCCATCTGCCACGGCCCCACCCAGCCCTCTGCCTGGCACTGGCAGTGCCCGCGGTGGAGGGGGCATTTCCTTGCAGGGTCGGGGAGGGACGACAGCCACCAACTTTCCCAGCCTGCCACTTACACAGAGTGGCAGTCGAGGCAGGCCCCACTCCTGGGGAGCCCGAAGCAGACCAGCCTGGAGGGCAGAGGCTGAGGGCTCCCCTCCACCCCAGTCACTGGCACTGCCTGCCAGTCAGCAGCCTGCCAGTGACTGGGATGGAGAGGAGCCCTCGGCCAGCTGGCCGCTGGCTGAGAGGAGTGAGCAGTGGGTGGGGGAGAGGGACCAGGGGGTGGAGAGAAGCCCTGGGCCAGCAGGACAGCTGAGAGGAGCTAGCGGTGGGGAGGGAGGGGTCAGGGGGTGGAGAGGAGCCAGCGGCTCAGAGTGCAGCCCAAGTGGAGCGGGCTTGGTGGGGGCCCCTTTTGAACGTGGGCCTGGCACCGGTGCCCTTTTAAACCCGGTACTGGGTGCTAATTCATAGGCTTTAACAATCACAGCATTAATATGGTGTTATACAAACAATGGCCCAAGTTCTACTCCCCACTGCACTGGTGTGACACAAAGCAGAAGTTGATCTTGCCAAGTACAGTAGAATCTCAGAGTTACGAACACCAGCGTTACAAACTGACCAGTCAGCCACACACCTCACCTGGAACTGGAAGTGTGCAATCAGGCAGCAGCAGAGACAAAAGGGGGGAGAAAAAGCAAATCCAGTGCAGTACTGTGTTAAATGTAAACTACTAAAAAAATAAAGGGAAAGCAGCATTTTCCTTCGGCATAATTAAGTTTCAAAGCTGCGTTAAGTCAATGTTCAGTTGTAAACATTTGAAAGAACAACCATAACGTTTTGTTCAGGGTTACGAACATTTCAGAGTTACGAACAACCTCCATTCCCAAGTAACTCTGAGGTTCTACTGTAAATATTAGTATTATCCTCATGTTACTGATGGAGAAACTGATGCAGACTTTAATGGCTAGATAGATTACAGCTTTCATTTCGTAAACCTTTTGCTCACACTGAGTGCCTCTCTTCTTGAACTGGGGGGTGAGAAGGAACGTGCCCAACCTGAAATACCATCAGTCTGTTTTTGAGAGATACTGAAGTCAACAAGAGCTGCAGGTGATCAGGATTTCTGCAAAAAATCAGGCCACTTAATAGGTGCCTAAATGATGTAGTTGCCTAGCCCAAGTTTGAAAATTTTGACCCAAGAAACCAGGGTGTGTGTAACCTGGGTGTGTGCACATGGGTGTCCTGCTGTGATAAGGTCCCAATACAGTCCATGAGTGGTAGAGGCTCTCTATTCTGGGGAAGGGAAGCAAAGCTCACAGTAAGTAAAACACAGCTTTCACAAGCTGCCGGCTGCTGGCACGAAATGACAAATACTTTTATGTTCAGCTTTTTAAAATTCTTCAAGAAAATGTGCCATTTCCAAGCAACGACAGTCTCTGTATTGTCACCACAAAGACACTTATTAATCTGAAGTCTCCTCTGCCTGCAGAATGAGCTGGTTCATTCAGATGTCATCAAGCTGTCAGTAGAGGGAACAACGATGGAAGGGCCAGAGGGACTGCAGCTGCAAACAATTGGTATGAGCCCAAGTTCTCACCATCCTGATAATTAGTGACATCAAACCTCTAATCACTCATGCATAGAAATTAAAGCAGAGAGCTCTCCAGGTGTGAGGTGATAGGGAGAGAGACTCTTAAAGAATCCTAGGACCTAATCACATCAGCCACACTATCAGAGGCTCATTCACCTGCGCATCTACCAATGTGATATATGCCATCATGTGCCAGCAATGCCCCTCTGCCATGTACATTGGCCAAACCGGACAGTCTCTATGTAAAAGAATAAATGGACAAGTCAAGGTTCCTTCCCCACTCCGAACTCTAGAGTACAGATGTGGGGACCTGCATGAAAGACCCCCTAAGCGTATTCTTACCAGCTTAGGTTAAAAACTTTCCAAGGTACAAACTTTGCCTTGTCATTGAAGAGTATGCTGCCACCATCACACGTTTTAAACAAAGAACAGGGAAAGAGCCCACTTGGAGACGTCTTCCCCCAAAATATCCCCCCAAGCCCCCTTTCCTGGGGAAGGCTTGATAAGAATCCTCACCAATTAGTACAGGTGAACACAGATCCAAACCCTTGGATCTTAAGAACAATGAAAAATCGAGCAGGTTCTTAAAAGAAGAATTTTAATTAAAGAAAAGGTAAAAGAATCACCTCTGTAAAATCAGGATGGTAAATACTTTACAGGGTAATCAGATTCAAAACACAGAGAATCCCTCTAGGCAAAATCTTAAGTTACAAAAAGACACAAAAACAGGAATATACATTCCCTCCAGCACAGCTTATTATACAAGCCATTAAACAAAAGAAAATGTAACACATTTCTAGCTAGATTATTTACTAACTTTACATGAGTTGTAAGGCTGCATTCCTGATCTGTTCCCGGCAAAAGCATCACACAGACAGACAAATCCTTTGTTTCCCCCCCACACTCCAGATCTGAAAGAATCTTGTCTCCTCATTGGCCATTTAGGGTCAGGTGCCAGCGGGGTTACCTTAGCTTCTTAACCCTTTACATGTGAAAGGATTTTGCCTCTGGCCAGGAGGGATTTTATAGCACTGTATACAGAAAGGTGGTTACCCTTCCCTTTATATTTATGACAGGACACAAATCAGATGTCAAGAATTATAACATTCAAAAACCAATTGGAGAACACCTCAATCTCCCCAGTCACTCAATTGCAGACCTAAAAGTCACAATATTACAACAAAAAAAACTTCAAAAACAGACTCCAATGAGAGACTGCTGAATTGGAATTAATTTGCACACTGGACGCCATTAAATTAGGCTTGAATAAAGACTGGGAGTGGATGGATCATTACACAAAGTAAAATATTTCCCCATGTTTATTTCCAAACCCCCCCCCCCCCACTGTTACTCTCACCTTCTTGTCAACTGTTGGAAATGGGCCATCTTGATTATCACTACAAAAGGTTTTTTTCTCCTGCTGCTAATAGCTCATCTTAATTGATCACTCTCGTTATAGTGTGTATGGCAACACACATTTTTTCATGTTTTCTGTGTATATATATGTATCTTCCTACTGTATTTTCCACTGCATGCATCCGATGAAGTGGGTTTTAGCCCACGAAAGCTTATGCTCAAATAAATTTGTTAGTCTCTAAGGTGCCACAAGTACTCCTTGTTCTTAAAGAAAGGTTACTCCTCTTGGCTGTTAGCAGATCTAAGTCAGAGTCTCTGTGGAGATGATGGTCTCTAACCTGGGAGAAGGTTTGACTCTCAGGCTACGTCTTTACTGCATGTGAAGCTGTGATTGTAGGGTAGGCATGCCCACTCTAGCTTAAATCTAGCTAGCTTAGGGGAACATAAGAGTTGCCACCCTGGGTCAGACCAATGGTCCATCTTGCCCAGTATCCTGTCTTCTGACAGTGGCCCGTACCAGAGCTTCAGGTGGAGTGTTCAGAACAGGGCGTTTTTTGAGTGATTCTCTGTCTTCTACTCCTGGCTTCTGGCAATCAGAAGTTTAGGGTTGCCCTGAGCTTGGGGTTGCATCCCGTCCAACTTGATTAATTTCCGTTGATGGATCTGACCTCCAATAACTTAACTTGGTTTTTTTCAACCTAGACATGATTTTAGCCTACAGCCAAAGGCAATGAGTTTCACAGGTTAGCTATGTGTTGTGTGAAAAAGTACTTCCTAATGTTTGTATTAAACCATTACTTTAATCAGGTGATCCCTCATTTTTGTATTGTGGGAAGGGGTAAATAACAATTCTCTAGTCACTTTTTCCACACATTTCTTGACTTTATAGACCTCTATGATATCTCCCTTTCTCTAAGATGCACAGTCCTAATTTTTTTGTTCTCCCCTCGTATGAAAGCCATTCCATGCTCTTGATCATCTTTGTTGCCCTTCTCTGAACATTTTCCAGTTCCATTGTATTTTTTTTGAGTTGGGGTGATCAGAACAGGACACAAAGTACTCAGGATGTGGGTGCACCAGGGATTTATATAGAGGCATTCTGATATTTTCTGTTTTATTATCTATCCCTTTCCTAATTGTTTCTCACATTCTATTAGTGGTTTTGACCTATTCTGTGCATTGAAAGTTTTAAAGTTTTCAGAGAAGTGACCATGGCAACTCCATAATCTCTTTCTTGAGTGGTAACAGCTAATTTAGAACTCACCCTTACATATGTAGAGTTGGGATTATGTTGTCCAATGTGCATTACTTTGCACTTATCAATATTGAATTTCACCTGCCATTTTGTTGCCCAGTCACCTAGTTTTTGCACTTAACGATCACATATGGATTTAATGATTTTGAATAATTTTTTTATCATCTGCAGATTTTGACACTTCACTGTTCACTCTCTTTTCCAGATCATTAAAGAATATGTTAAACAGTACAGGTCCCAATGCAGATCCATGGGTGGGATCCCGCTGTTTACTTCTCTCCATTGTGAAAACTGACCATTTATTCCTACCCTTTGTTTCCTGTCTTTCAGTTACTGATCCATGACAGGACCTTCCCTCTTATCCCATGACTACTTAGAGTTTAAGAGCCTTTGGTGAGGAACCTTTTCAAAGGCTTTCTGAAAATCCAAGTGCAATATATCTAGTGGCTCACCCTTATCCACATTTGTTGACCCCTTCAAAGGCATGATTTCCCTTTACAAAAGCCTTGTTGACTCTTCCCCAACAAATCGTGTTCATCTGTGTGTCTGATAATTCTCTGGTACTAAAGTTAGACTCACTAGCCTGTAATTGCCAGAATTGCCTCTGGAGCCCTTTTTAAAAATTGGTGTTACATTGGCTATCCTCCAGTCATCTGGTGCAGAGGCTGATTTCAGGGATAGGTTACAAACTATAGTTAGTAGTTCTGCAATTTCAAATCTGAGTTCCTTCAGGCTAGCTGCCTAAGTACTTACCCAGGGTCCCAGGCAGGCTTGTGTAGCCCATGCTGAAGCCCGTGTTGTTGTGACTTCATTGCTTGTGGTACCTGAATTATCTAGATTAAAGCTAGCATGGATCTGCCTACATGTGCTGCAATCACATCTTCGATTGCAGTCAAAGCAATGGTCGTTTCTATCTAGATGTATCTAGTCAAGCTCAACAACGTTACCCATCTCCCTCTCACCTAAGGTTAACCTCAACTAGCTACAACAATGTATAAACTATCAGTTCCTTGCCTCCGTCACACCAAGAGAGAACATAACAATCGCCATATTGGGTCAGACCAAAGGTCCATCTAGCCCAGCACCCTGTCTTCTGACAGTGGCCAATGCCAGGTGCCTCAGAGGGAATGAACAGAACAGATAATCATCAAGTGATCCATCCCCTGTCGCCCATTTCCAGCTTCTGGCAAACAGAGGCTAGGGACACCATCCCTGCCCATCCTGGCTAATAGCTATTGATAGACCTATTCTCCATGAACTTTTCTAGTTCTTTTTTGAACCCTGTTATAGTCTTGGCCTTCACAACATCCCCTGGAAGGAGTTCCACAGGTTGTCTGTGCGTTGAGTGAAGAAATACTTCATTTTGTTTGTTTTAAACCTGCTGCCTATTACTTTCATTTGGTGACCCCTAGTTCTTGTGTTATGAGAAGGAGTAAATAACACTTCCTTATCTACTTTCTCAGTCATGACTTTATAGGCCTCTATCATATCCTGCCTTAGTCATCTCGTTTCCAAGCTGAAAAGTCCCAGTCTTATTAATCTTTCCTCATAAGAGCTAAGCCGGGTTAGCTGTCTTGCTGTAAAAACATGCCTATTTTGGGAGAGAAGATATAGCCTTACAGAGCTTGCAGAAGGAAATTCCCTTTGCGTAGAAGAATGTTTCAGAGTTAGCAATTTGTAGAGAGTGTAATATATTTGTGAGAGGGAATTAGTTTGATACATGCTGATGGTGAGTCACAATATAGGATCTCCAAGGAATGAGGGCGGGAACTGGGACTGGCTGAGTAAGGAGATTGGGAGTCGGGATGTAGGGGGACTGGGAGTTTGGAGGGAGGAGACTTCACCTTTTGGGGCAATGGGACTGGGATAGAAACCTAAGGAGTGGAGACTGGGACTAGCAAAGTGAGCAGAATGGACTGGGGTAAGGAACCAGTGGTGGGGCAGGGGTTTGGGGGGGGACAGACAGAACAGGGACCGATTGTGTGGGATTGGGTGGAGAAGTCTGTGCCTAGACCACACTCCCATTCAGATCCTGGACTGGGACCCTAGATTCCTGACTCGCCTTCCTCTGCTGTCAGCAAATATTTGTGAAACCCAATGGTAAAGTGTCTCGTCCCTTTCTAGGGTTGGGCCACATAGATGATAACAACCTACTACTGCTATCAGTTACTTTGTTAACTCAAGTGACAGGGATCTGTGAGGTGGATCTAAAGGTTCCAACCCTTCTGATATACCATGTAGGTGTCACTATGATGCTTACATGATGGAATTTCATGGGTCGGGGGAAGGAATTCCAAATGTTTAAAAAAACTCTAGGAACTTACACACAAACTATATTAAAAGAACGTTATTAAAGTTGCAAAGTCGAGCACTCAGGAGTTAGGAAATGCCAGAATTAAGGTTGCAGTGCAATTTGGATTCACCCTGCAATCTGTGTACGAATTATGAATGGAGCCCTACCAAATTCACAGTCCATTTTGATCAATTTCATGGTACTAGGATTTTTAAAATAGTAAATTTCACAGTTTCAGATGTTTACATCTGAAGTTTCATGGTGTTATAACTGTGAGGGTCCCGACCCAAAAGAGTGTTGTGGGAGGTTGCAAAGCTATTGTGGGGGGGGGGGCATCACTTTTGGGGGGGGCAAGGCTGGCCTTACAGGTGGGTGATTGTCCAGGGCCCCATAGTCAGAGGGGTGCTGTGGTCCATCCCTCCCCCCATAGCCAGCCCAAGGCCACTTTCACTCCTGAGCACTGGGCCCAGAGTTGGGGAGGGGCAGGGCTGGGAGCACCCCATCCGGGGCTTCCTATTGTGCGCTGGGCTCCAGCTGCTAGTCCCGGTAGGGCTGGGGAAGGAGAGGACTCCCTCTTCCCTGGGGTGGGTCAGACCCATCTCTGGGAACCTCCCCTGGCTGCAGGAAGCTCCATGGCTGTGCTGCCTTCGGAGCTGGAGCTTTCTGCAGCCAGGAGAGGTTCCCGAAGGTGGGTCGGGTCTCCCCTGTGCTGCTGGGGGCACCACAGCTGGGGGCTCCTACTGTGTGCCAGGCTCCAGCTGCTAGTCCCAGTCAGGCTGGTGAGGGACAGGACTTCCTCTTCTCTTATAGGAGCCACTCCTCAGACTGGGCCAGACCCACCTCTGGGAACCTCCCCAAGCTGAACTGGGACAGGGTCAGGCAGCAGCTATTCAATATTTCGTTTTCTCCACATTGTTCAATGTGTGGCTCCAGGCCTTATTTACTGCCCACTAGTCAAACCCTGCCCTGAAGACATAATTATTAATTTCCTCCACAGGCTTTTCTGTGGGCCCCATCACTATAATATCTGAGAGCTTCACAGACATTAACAAAGGACTCCACATCCTTGGATCCAGAGATGCCAAGGTGGGGCTGGAGAGAGAGGACTTATTCTCTTTCCTTCTTTAAGGTCATCCTGGGGAAGGATCTGTTCTTGAAACAGTGCAGGTGTGGTCCATTTAGGTTCTGATACTATGCCCATTGCCATGCTGAGTGCCTTCCAGAAATAAGAACTGAGATTTGGCAAATTTGATGAGATGTTCTGTGGGAACATAGTGGAGTGCAGGGAAAGAACATCTTTGATGTACTGTGCTGCTGAAGAGGGGAGAGGCCGTCATCTAATGCTGTCCTGGATCAGAGGCTCCGAATTAGCAGGTGCTTAGCACCCACCAGCAGCCAATATGAAAAAATATTTTTTGAAAACCTTCATTGATGGAATTTGTGCAATAACAAAGAAACCTATGCTTGATATCATGGCCGTCTTTCTGATTGACAGCTCTCCCTCTCTCTCTCTCAAATAGGTTGTGGAACTTCCTTTGATTTTCACAAGAAGATAGATTATTTATTTCTCGTTGGCACTGAAGAAGGGAAAATCTACAAGGTAAAAACCATTTCAGGGAAACCTCTTTTACCTCTCATCACTGCTGTCTATTTTATAGGGTTGTCATCTTAGTCATTTCCCCAGAATATGTAATAAAATGCAACTTCGGTCCTTCAATCAGATCTCCATGGGTGGACTCCGATGCCCATGGGAAGCCCTGCTGGGTTGCTGGAATATGCCTGAGTAGAGCCAATTGCCACTGGGCTCTAAAAGAACCTCTATAGAATAGAATCTTGTATAAAGATTTTTTTTGTACAAACTGCATCCCAGAATACAGAATGCAACTGCAGAACTAAATAAGAAGGGAGTGAGAGAAATGAAGAGGGATACAGCCCTTGCCTCTGAGCCCATGCCCCCATGACTATGAAATGGCAGGAATAATTTAATCTGCTTTTTATTAAATCATAGGACTTTCTAGCCCTCCCCTTTGTAGTGAGTCTTGAAAATGCAAACTGTAACCAGTGATAGCTCGAGAGGGAAGTCTGTTCCCTGTCCCGCTCCCATTACACGCAGCGTTCCCCTGGCCCGGCTTTTGGGGTCTATTAAAATTATAGCCACAGGGCCTTCAGTTTGGGTGAGGACCTTTAGCCTGTATATGGCTGGTGGGGCAGAGCTGCCCAGAACACAGCTATGGCCGCTGCAAGCTCCTTCACAGCCGACTGCCTTCAGCAGACTCCTCTGCTGAGCTGGAGGATATTCTGATGTGGCTCTCCCTCACTCCCCTGCTGAAGTTGCTCCACTCTGAGCCTGTCTACTAGAGCAGACCCCGCATACAAATAGGTCCATGGATCGCTCTAGGGCTTAGACCAGAGATAAGAGCCTGGACACCAAGAGTGGGGCAACAGTGCGCATGCTCAGACGCAGAAATTTCGGACCCTAGGGAACTTTTGCTGCAAAAATTTAGGTGCTGAGTGAGGTTAGGCTGCAGCTGAGTGGGGGGCTTGTGGGTGTCAGTGGAGCCCAAAATGGACTTTGGCACCTAGGTACCTTTGTGGGTCTGGGCCCTCATGTTTCCACATTGTAAAATGAGGACATTGATCCCAGCCTCACTGGGAAGATGTGGTGATAAAGGCCTTGATCTAGCAAAGCACTTGAAACCTGTGCTTTCATGCTTTGCTGGATTTGGGGAGGAAGTCTTTAAAGTCTGTACAGTGCTAATCTCTGCCAGAGCACGTACACAGCCTTTGGGCAGATGGGGACATAGCAGCCCACAACCTCCAGCTTATCTAGGCAGTTAGTTCTTGCAGAACTCTCAGAAATGTTGGCAAGTGTCCAGAGGTGCTCATTCCCTTTGCCACCGTAGTGTTAAGTAGAAAGACGGGTCTAACTTCAAATATTCGAGAAGAATGAAGAATCAAGGGTAAACTCCTATCTGGATGGACATGCCTATAGACTATTTGTTAAACTGTTTTAAAAAGTGAGTTTCTGAAAGCTTTTATTTTTCCAAGGGGTGAAAACTTCCTAATAATCAGTAGGATAATATGTTAATTTTTTAGCTGCAGAACAATTACAGAGAATTTCAGAAAATAGTGTGATTAATAGCATTTCTGAAGCCAAGAAATCATTATCTTAATTACACACTGGTCTATCTACTGCCCTTTTACATAGAGGACAAACTGTTTCTGCATTAATATGAACATATAATGGAAAACAGCCTCTTTACATATTACCCACTGGTTTGTGACTTGTTCAGACCTGTGTATTGAAAGGAAAGTTGCAGTTACACGAACCCTGCAAATTCAGAGCACGTCTTTTAAAGTGATATTAATTATGAGATCGAGTCTTGGGATAGAAGCAGCGCTCAGCCACTGTGTGTGTGTCCAGAGACACTGCAGTGACACCGTTAGACTATGTCGGAGAAAGAGAGAGATCTAGCCAAAGTCTTTGCTTGGGTTCTACTTAGTCCTTTCTGAAAGAGTTGGCCTGAGAAAGGACTAAAAAAAGCTAACTTAGCACCTCAGGATCTGGCTCATAATAAGTAACAGCAACAACTTTAAACCCTTTTTGATTTTTTTCAAAAGGTTTCTAAAGAGATCTGAATTTTCTCAGTCCTAATCTGCCTGAGGCTGTCAAGATGGTTGCTGCCTATTTGATTTGTACTTTTTGTTCCCCATTATAAGCCCCCTTTGAAAAAATTGTTTCTTATATTACCTTGATACATAGCATTTCTGTAAGTAAACTAAAGAAACCCAATAGGATTCTGAAGATGCCCCTAACTGTCCACGTGTGTAGGGAGAAATTGAAGAGTTCTGTGTCAGGCCAAGGTGTTTAGTGCAAGCTGCAATGCTGCTAGCTAACAATTCAAACAACCTCTCTGAATTCGTTTTCCTTCTCCGTATTCTACAGCAATGTCTTGTAACCCTATGGCCAGCTGTTTTATTACAATATTCCTTTACTGGTGTTAACAGATTCTTTGTTTTACCATCACAACTTAATAATAGTTCTAACTTCCTGAGAACACACCTATCATCAGCTAAATAGGAGAAAAACTTACTAAGCAAATCTGGGACGACAGTCTGGAAGATGAAACAGATTCTGCACATTCTTGGTTTGGGTCTAATCATCCTTTTTCTCGTCTTCAAAACTTTCACGCTGAAGGTCAGACTTCACATTTTTCAGTAGTGTTTGATTCTGAAATGTGTAATAAGCAGCCTCAGCGAATAGGAGAGTGAGGGGAAATATTTGCCGACTTCTTTCAGTTCCAGACAGCTTAGAAGTTCTTTGTAACTTCAGTAGGTAACAATTTCAGACAGAAATCTCATTTGTTTTTCAAATTGGAAATAAGGCACACATTTTTAACATTGAGGGTGATTTACGATAGGAACAAAAATTCACAGAAGTGATGCAAGTTACTGGGCTCAATACAGGCTCAGATACAAGTTACTGGGCTCAATTCAGGGGTAGCTGGGTGAAATTTAACAGCCTGTGATATACAGCAGGTAAGACTAGATGATTTAATGGCCTCTTCTGACCTTAAACTCGATGCAGCTCTGGAAATGATTCCTTACCTGACCCCACACCCCATTTATATCTGAACTTTCAAGATACCAAGCACCTCTCAAGGTACCAAGCACCATAACTCCCTTGGAATCAGTGGGAGCTGAGAGCGTACAGTGCCTTGCACAGTCAGGCCATGTTTCCTACCCTTGCAAGGAGAGTGGGTCTTTTCCGTCTCTAAGTTCTATGAGCCTGTCATCTTAGTTAAGAGTAACACTGGCAAGCATTGTAATGAATGTCCGACAGAAGCAGCCAGGTCAGAGGGGGCAGACATACCACACACTAGAGCACGGAGGTAGGTGCTTATTTTCTGCAGAAGTCTGGCAGGGTTCTGCCCTGCCCCGGCCTGTTTTGCCTGCCAGTTGGAGAGAGAAAAGGAGTACTTGTGGCACCTTAGAGACTAACCAATTTATTTGAGCATGAGCTTTCGTGAGCTACAGCTCACGAAAGCTCATGCTCAAATAAATTGGTTAGTCTCTAAGGTGCCACAAGTACTCCTTTTCTTTTTGCGAATACAGACTAACACGGCTGTTGGAGAGAGAGTTTTTCCACTTGGCCTCAGCCAGGCATGTGTGGAGAAGGGTCTCTGAGAGGGAAGGAGAATGGGCTCTTCCTCCCCCTACTCCTGGCCCAGGGAGCAGTGGAGGCAGAGCCTGCTAGAGCCAGCCTGGCTGAGATGCCAGGAGAGCCTGGGGAATGAGCTGCTCCATCTCTGCCTGACCTCTGCACTCTGTGATGGCCAGGGCCAGTGCTACAAGACTGCTTGGTTTCTTGTTTACAAGGACTGGAAGGAGCCTGCCAGGGGTGTGGCCATGGATTCCTTCCAACAACCCAAATCTGAGGGAAACAGGAGTTTCTTAAAGAGGCAGGTTTATAATTAGAGGCTGAAGCCTTAATGAGACAGCCTTTTCTTTGGGCATTTTGCCTTTCTCATATGAGCCTGATGCTACAGGCCTAGACCAGTCTTGCATACCCCATCAAACAACCTGGTAGGCCAAGACACCACTGACTCCCAAAACCGCCTCCCAAAGCGATGACTATGTTGTTCCTTTGATCAAAACTGTATCAGCTTCTGTCTAGACAGAATCTCCAAAATTATCCCCCTGAATATTAATTTTCCATGGGATTCAGACAGCCCTGGGTCAAGACTCTTGTTGATTAAAAGTCTGAGACATTAAGGGTCTTTCAAATCAATAACATGTGGTGAGAGTTGAATAAAGTAACTTCCCTCACCTTTCATAGAATCATAGAATATCGGTGTTGGAAGGGACCTCACGAGGTCATCTAGTCCAACCCCCTGCTCAAAGCAGGACCAATCCCCAACTAAATCATCCCAGCCAGGGCTTTGTCAAGCCTGACCTTAAAAACCTCTAAGGAAGGAGATTCCACCACCTCCCTAGGGAACCCATTCCAGTGTTTCACCACCCTCCAAGTGAAAAAGTTTTTCCTAATATCCAACCTAAACCTCCCCCTTTCAAATTATCCAGGTCTTATTTGTCTCTTCACAGCAGAGTAACTTTCAAAAACAAACCAAATACAAATCCCCCTTATGACTGAATGTAAAAAAGCATGAAGCATTGATACTGCATGTACCATTAAAGCAAATTCCAGCAATATAACAATATGCAGAACTAGCAGCTCAGTGACAGAGTATCTGTACACCATCATATTCGCAAACTCCGGATGACACTGACTGATAAACTGAGGTAACCCAATGATGATCATTCTCCTGAATTTAGGAATATCTCTCTGGGGCAGGTGCTGTGTTTTTGGGTGGCCAGCGTCTAACACAATGGGACCTCAGTCAAGGTTTGAGCCTTAGGAGCTACTGCAATACGAATATTTAATAAGAATTAATCTTGTCCCTTTTCCGATATATGAAGATGCTGGAAGTGCAGAAAAGTTTGAGTATCCAAACGGTGAATGTGACTTTGTAAGAAACTGAGTTAAGCCTTGTAATTTTGATTAATTGGAGTCTTTGGAGTGCAAGAATTAAATTCCCATAACACTTTAGCAAGCCTCCTGTTCTAATCTGAATGCATTCAGCATTTGTTATGGTAGTGATGTGCATTATGAGCCTTATTGGTGGCATACTGGGCCGTATTTGCAAACATGGGATCCTAAATTGAACCTACAAAATATGCACACTTGTTACAAATACTGTCATAAATATAAAGGGAAGGGTAAACCCCTTTAAAATCCCTCCTGGCCAGAGGAAAACTCCTCTCACCTGTAAAGGGTTAAGAAGCTAAAGGTAACCTCGCTGGCACCTGACCAAAATGACCAATGAGGAGACAAGATACTTTCAAAAGCTGGGAGGAGGGAGAGAAACAAAGGGTCTGTGTGTCTGTATATATGCTGTTTTTGCCGGGGATAGAACAGGAATGGAGTCTTAGAACTTTTAGTAAGTAATCTAGCTAGGTATGTGTTAGATTATGATTTCTTTAAATGGCTGAGAAAAGAATTGTGCTGAATAGAATAACTATTTCTGTCTGGGTATCTTTTTTGTAACTTAAGGTTTTGCCTAGAGGGATTCTCTATGTTTTGAATCTAATTACCTTGTAAGGTATCTACCATCCTGATTTTACAGAGGGGATTTCTTTACTTCTATTTACTCCTATTTCTATTAAAAGTCTTCTTGTAAGAAAACTGAATGCTTTTTCATTGTTCTCAGATCCAAGGGTTTGGGTCTGTGGTCACCTATGCAAAGTGGTGAGGCTTTTTATCCAACATTTCCCAGGAAAGGGGGGGTGCAAGTGTTGGGAGGATTGTTCATTGTTCTTAAGATCCAAGGGTCTGGGTTTGTAGTCACCGAGGCAAATTGGTGAGGCTTTTTACCAAACCTTGTCCAGGAAGTGGGGTGCAAGGTTTTGGGAAGTATTTGGGGGGAAAGACATTTCCAAACAGCTCTTCCCCAGTAACCAGTATTTGTTTGGTGATGGTAGCGGCCAATCCAAGGACAAAGGGTGGAATATTTTGTACCTTGGGGAAGTTTTGACCTAAGCTGGTAAAGATAAGCTTAGGAGGTTTTCATGCAGGTCCCCACATCTGTACCCTAGCGTTCAGAGTGGGGAGGAACCTTGACAAATACAGTTAAGTGTTTTGCACATGCAGACAAGAATGATGATGATTTTAGTTTCCATAGAAAGATCTCAGATGTTAATGAAATAAGCCTTCCGGTGTCTGTGTGTGTGTGTGTGTGTGTGTACTATTATCCCAATTTTTCAGATGAGGAAACTGGTACTCAGAAGTCCGTTGAGTGACTATTCCAAGGATCTCACAGAAAGACCGAGGCAGTGTTGGGAGTGGAACCTAGTCCAGTGTGCTAAGCGATGCTGCGCTTTACCACATGCAGTTGGAGGCTTAGTGTGTGCAACACTTGGGCAAATGTTGCTTGCACAATGGCACATACACTTGCAAATTGGGGTTACAATGGCTGTTATCATAACTGAAGGTTCTAAATAAATTCAGCAATAGTCAATAGATGAAACATTGCATGGATTTAGTTACACTTGCTCATGAAAACAAATATATTTGCAGCTTTGCATCAGCGGAACAGAAATGGCCCCTGGCCCCTCTTTTTGAATGTCAACTTTAGCTGGTGTAATTCCAGTGGGCATTAGTTGTTTCGACAAGATGACGGCATATGAACGAATCTTTGGCCCGGGTTGTAACTTCAGGCACCCCCTGGGTACTAGGCAGAGCTCAGGGCTGAACGGCTCAGGGCCCACTGGTTCTGAGACGCCAGCAGGGTGGAGGAGGGCTGGCCATCCTTACTGGCCATCTTCCTTGCAGCCACGTCATGCTGTTAGCCATGCTAGCTAGTGCTTGGGAGAGTGCTAGACTTGTCCTGTGTCCAGCTCCTGCACTGGTGCAATAGGGAGGAGGCACCCGGCAGCCTTTCGTTCACCCAGTGCAGGGGCTGGCAGAATTTGGCCCTTTGTCCCAGAGTATGTGGAAATGATCAGACAGTGGGCACACTAACTTTGAAAGCCATAGGCGCTGACTCCGTGGGTGCCCCGAGGCTGGAGCACTCATGGGAAAAAAAAAAAAGGGGGTGCTCAGCACTCACCAGCCACAGCTGTTTGGTGGCGCCCCCGATTAGCCGATTGGAGGTGCCGCCAAACAGCTGTTTGATGGCTGGGGGAGGGGCCTGGGGGAGAGCGGAGCGCAGCAAGTGAGCAGGGGCCTCAGGGAGGAGTGGAGCAGGGCCTTGGGGGAAGAGGGTGGAGCAAGGGCAGTGATTTGTGGGAGGGGGCAGAGCAGGGGCAGGATGAGGCAGAGCGAGGGCGGGGCCTTGGGGAGGGGATGGAGTGGAGGTGGGGCATTGGGGCAGAGGCGGGGTGGAGTACCCCTGGGGAAAAAAAAAATCTCAGTGCCTATATTGGAAGCCAAAGCTCAGCCTGTCTGTTTAGGGGCTTGTCTACACTTGAAATGCTACAGCAACACAGCGGCTCCACTGTAGTGCTTCAGTGTAGACATTACCTACACTGATGTGAGGGGTTCTCCCATCAGAGTAGGTAATCCACCTCTTTTGTCAACCTACTGCTGTCTACGCTGGGGGTGAGGTCGGCTTAACTCCACCGCCCAAGGGGTGTGGGTTTTCACACACCTGAGCAACATAGTGAAGCCGACAATTTTCTAGTGTAGACTAGGCCTAGAAAAGTAGCAGCATAGAAATTCTGTGCTTTGCAGCCTGTCGTTCACAAGATAACTGCTGACCTGGAGTTGTTTGGCATTTATGGTCCATCTAACCGTGAAGTAGGATAGCTGATGAGAATGCCTGTGGGTAAACAGCCTCCCACGCAGACATCACTCAACTTGTGTTCAAAGGCTCTACCATGCCTGTCCTCAACGAGGACCTTGCCAGCAGGAACTGGCTGGCTGTCTCACTCATTCTTGCAGTGTCTAGCTTGTGTACATGCCAACATTGTACAATAGGTCTGCACGTTGCATTACAACCATGTGGGTACCTGTGGATTCTCAGGCTGCTGATGCCCATGGTGGGAACAAGGGCTTTGGGGGAAAATGTCCGGATGTGAAGCTCTGCCATGTGAAATGTGGTTGGGAGGGACCATCCAACCAGTGGTTTCTTGCAATGCTTTTTGTTTCGTGCAGACAGGCCCAAAGATTGACCACCTTTGAGGAAGGGCTGTTTGTGAAGGACTTTCTTTTTGCTTTAAGTGATTCTTCTTCTTTACGACCCTCATATATTGGAGCCTTTGAACTGGTGCCCACAGCAGCAGTCACTGAAAGCTAAAGTCCACCTCTGCCAGTGGCTCTGCTTTACCTGGGGTGGTAATATCGTATTGCCGCCGCAGACCTCAGGGTGATCCTTTCATGTACTAAGCAGCTGGCAATTCTATGTAATAATTCATCATTTTGTGCTTTTGGCATTAGAGATCTAGTCACTGAGTCAGCGGTATGTGAATGTGTGTCAGCTCAAGGTGGCTAGAGCAATTTGCAAATGTGTCCTCGCTGGTCCCTATCATAGCGTTAAGGAGCTGGTGCTCTTGTTCAAATGATTCCTCCCTGTTTTAGCTTTTCGAATCCATGGACGTTTGGAAAGACAGCTTCTTTCTCCCGTGATGTCCAGACCTATCCCTAGCAGTAAAAGGATAACTAATTAGCAATACATCACATTTCTATAGCACTTTACAAACTGTACCTAATCTATCCTCACAATCCCCTGCAAGGTGGGGAGGGTGATTGTTCCTGTGGGTTTAGAGCCAACATCTTCAAACTTGTGGCCTTAAAGTTTATGCTAAATCCATGTTTTGGCAACAAAATCACCTCCGCTGATCTTAGAGGTGCTAACTGCCAACAGCTGCCATTGACCTAACTGCAGGCACCTGTGTTGGAATATTTAGGCTTATTAAGTACTTCCCCCAAGACCACCCAGTGTACACAGCACAGCAGGGACTAAGACTGGTTCTTCAAACTTCCAATCCAGGGCTTGATCCTCCAGTTTAATAAATGATGAACCTGTCACTTCCTGACCATAATAAAACGTGGGAGTTGCCACACTCTGTTTAAATGCACATTGATGGGGCAGGGAAGGGTTTCTGTACTAGTCAGTAGGAGCAAAGTGGATACCAAAGTGTCGTGCCAGCTAGGAATGCCCCAAAGCGCAGGAGAGTCTGAGTGCTGATCAATGGCAGGCTTGCTAGACCCAGACGTTTACAAATCAGAGGACAAGCCATAAGCTTTATTTCACCCAGAACTACTCCCAAACCCTGTTCCCAAGGCAAACAAGCCCATCTCGCCATGTGCATTATGGCACCATAGCTTACCTTACCTGATCACTCTTGTTACATGTGTATGGTAACACCCATTGTTTCATGTTCTCTGTGTATATAAATCTCCCCACTGTATTTCGACTGCATGCATCTGATGAAGTGAGCTGTAGCTCATGAAAGCTTATGCTCTAATAAATTGGTTAGTCTCTAAGGTGCCACAAGTAATCCTTTTCTTTTTGCGGATACAGACTAACACGGCTGCTACTCTGAAACCATAGCTCCTGTCACTAAAAGAGCCGGGATTGGATGGTTATGACCCTGCTCTCACACGCACACTCAGATAATAACACCGACTTGGATGGATTTGTCGCAGTGTATCCAGCAAGGCAGAAATTTCAAGTCTGAGCTAAAATGCGTGGCTGCTCAAACCACCTTTTAAAAATACCAGCGCATTCCCATTCAGGTTAACTTCACTGACGGAGCTAGACTCTTGGTAGAGAGTTGGAAATTGTGACACTCAGAAGGGCTCAGTATTCCATGCCAAAGGAGAGAAACATGTTTTAAATGTCGCTTAGATCTGGTAGAAAAGGTCACAACTCCTGCCTCTCTAGAGAAGCTGCTCGGGGGTGCCTCCAGGGTGGAGAACCACCCTTCCAGAGCAGCCAAATGATTCTCATTGCCAATCCCTGGTTCCTTTGCAGTGTTCAAAATCCTATTCAAGCCAGTTTCTGGACATCTTTGATGCTCACCACATGGCTGTTGACGCAGTGAGCTGGAATCCCTACCACATGAAAGTCTTCATTTCCTGCAGCTCTGACTGGACTGTCAAGATCTGGGACCACACCATAAAGTAAGTCTTGCTGTGTCCTGGCCTTGGCAGCTGGAAAGTGTGATTTATGCTCTCACAATATAAACATGCAGCGTGCAGCTAGCTTTGTCTGCCAAAATCTATGGTTACAGTTTTACCATTAAGTGGATTTATTGCTTATTATTCTCTCTTACTCTCCTCATTTGCTTTTTCCTGAGCGTAGCAGTTCCTTCAGTAATAAGAGCAGGTACAGCCCTGGATTGCTGCCTGTGTAAGTGTATCTAGGACTAGGGTGAGATGCTCTGCAGTCCATGATTTTAAAACTTTAACAGAGCTACACAAGGTACCAGCCCACTGGCTTGGATCCAGGCCACACAGGTCAAAACAGGGCACTGCAGTTCAAGGTGGCTGCCCTGATGTTTCAAAGCCCTGCATGGCATTGGACCCGGCTACCTGAGAGATCCGCTCTCCCTCTGCAACCAGGACCTCTCATCACAGCTGTGTCCCACCTGAGGAATGATACTGTTAGCCAATCTTCATGGGAGCCAAACAGAGACTAGCAAACTCGCTATAGGCAGAGATGACTGACCACTAATCTCACCTCGTTCAAACATTCACTCAAACTTTCCCATAATAGCTCCTTCATTCTCTCAAACAGAAAATCCCCTAACCCTACTTCTTGGCAGCACGGGAGAGAGAAGGAGGGCACTGTCAGCTGTGAACTCCTGCGGGGTTGTCATCTGTGACAATCCAGTGCAACATGGATGAGGGCTCAGCTGCTCTGACCAGCACAGGTTGCCTGGGGTATAGCATCAGAGTGTTTCATCTTGAAAGTCTTCTTCAGGAGGGACATGTAATTGGACAAGATCTTCTTCACCCTGGGCCTTTCTTTCCAGGACCCCGATGTTCGTCTTTGACCTGAATTCTGCTGTGGGGGACGTTGCCTGGGCCCCTTACTCCTCCACTATCTTTGCTGCAGTCACCACGGATGGGAAGGTAAGAGGCTTTAGTTTAACTGGGAGGGGATTAAGGAATCTAATGTCCTGGACAGAGACGTGGCAGCTCAGCTGACAGCAACTGGCCGGCTGCTGGTGGGGTGAGCTGGGCGGCTTCCTTTGGGATTCTGAGGAGTCAGAATCTGGCCTGCGAGTTAGTCTGGGGGCTGGGGGCCTGGCATGGAAGGGGGCTGTGTCCAGGGAGAGGAGGAACATTTTGGTGAATATTGGCCCCGTGCAGGCTTAATCTGTCCCTTCCCACCCCCTACTCCATAGCACACTGGTGTCTTAAAGCAACAGTGCTGTAGAAGGCGGGGGCAGCGACACTTTCCATCCTTTCCCAAGCACCTCAACTCCCTTTCTATAGCACGCTCACTCGGGCCAGAAATCTTTAGCAGACATCCAAGGTTTCTGCACAGCAGTGCAAACTCCTTAGCTGGTCTTAAACGGAAGCCAAGAGCCCTTTGGGGACATTAAGGATCAGCTGCATAACTCGATGTGGCCACGCCAAACTCATTGGGATAAAACCGGCATGTGAGTGTCTCTCCCTGTATACAACGTATACGGACTGACATGGACAGGTGGGGAGTTCCCTCGCCATTGCGTGGCATTCCTAGCCCTCTCTGCTGGGTATTCAGTGGATGTGCAAGATCAGCATGGTGTATACTTAGGGGAACAAACCCAGCCCCGGGCGTAAGCAATCGCAGCTCTATTGAAGCCAAGGACATTACGCCCTCTTAATCCAGGGATGAATGGAGCCCTTTGAGCACTGGGGATAATGCAGTGCATGGTAAACCAGAGGAGTGAGCAGACTGCTTTCTTGTACACTGTCCTCTCAGTTACTTTTCCTGCTTTCTCTTACAGCCACTGGGCATGTAATTCACTCACTTTGAATCCTACTGAACGCCACATTGATACAAGTACACTGCCTCTTATATCCTCTTCCTGACCAATTTCTAACCACCTCACACCCAGTTCTGTTCCCACTGAATTGAGCCCAGTGGCTTCCATGGGAGCCGCACTTACTTACACTAGATCTGAAACTGGCTCATTAACTAATCCTCACAGCAGTCCTGTGGGTAGATGCTATTATGCCCATTCTACAGATGGGAAAACCTCATACAGCTGTCATCAGATCATTATTGATCAGAGCTTCCAGGACACAGGGAAGCAATACAGTAAAGTTAACAACAAAAAAAATCAATTATAGTCACGTGCCCAGAGCTGGCCAGTGCAGCTTTGCTATAATGAAATGGTATGAAATTAGTATTTTTCCACATCCTGCTCAGGAGTGGATGTCTCCAAGAATAATGACTTGATAACAAAGTACTTAGAACAATCCTAATGTTGAGTTGATGGGAGATATATTTTTGCCCCAACCATCCATCTAGTCTCTTGTACAGTTAATTCAGTCCTGGCAGACTGCCTGCAACACTTAGCTAGCCATCATTCATTAGTGCTTCTATATTACTTTAAGACCCCATTGCTTTAAAGCTGTGGGCCAGATTCTCTGCTGGTGTCAGTTGGCAGAGTACTATAGAAAGTCAGTTGGGCTCCATCAGATTGCACCAGTAGAGAACTTGGCTCTATGATTTCTCGGCTGCTATCATCAAGTCGGCATTAGCAGTGATTTCATTGCAATTTAACCTTTCAATTGTAGAAGAAAAATCAATATCACTGATATATTGGTGAAGCCTAGAAGCCCTGCCACTGTACCAGCTGAGGCTGAGGACTTAGTACATCTCACAGGCTAGGCAATGTCAAATATAGTCCATACTGAAGCAGCTGCCAAGGAAAACCCAAGATGCTGTAGCCTTCAGGAAATGGTGCTGTTACTAAAGACCCCCTGGCCTTTTCCCCGAGAGGTGTGTGAGCCCCAGAGGCCTGGCCGCACTCCAGTCTGGGTACCTACTTCAGCCTGAATGCTGGCACAAACTGAATACACAGTGGATGCCTGTGAGGACAAAGCAGCGCTGTTTTGCCACGTGACCTTTAGTGACGAGATGTAGATGTCTCCGGATGACTGAAGCTGAGTGACAGAGATACGCCAAGGGCAGTGTTCTAATAGGAAGAGAGTGCAACACCAGATCGTGGCTCCCTTCAGCTTCTTGTTCATGCTATCTCCAGAGGGGTTTAATCCTCACAGATTGTGTCAGATTCTCTGTCAGAGCCCTACCAGTTGGCCAGTTGTTCCTTATATTTAGCTACATGTTGATGCCACAAGATCTTTCCATCAAACTTTCCCCTTCTGCCTGCTCATCCCCTGACCTGATGGATTCATTTCCCAGCTCTCTGCAAATGTGACGATTTGAGTTATGCTGCTCAACTTCATGGCCGCGGGCTCGTTCCTGCCAGCACTTAGTCACCCAGACCATCCCACTGCAGTCAGTCAACTACTCATGAGATGGAGGTCTGCGGCATCAGGTTCCCAGGCAGGCAGGGCACAAACTACTGTCAGCTTTGTATCACTGCAATAAGCAATTTGAAAAACCCTGATCTCTGGAGCCTGCAGCTCTTGGGCACTGCAGTCTGCAGATTGTCCTCGTCTGAAACGGAATAAACGGCCAAGTGATTCGATCACAGATAGAATTAGAAATTGTCTGTGGGGGAATAACACAGACTGGGTCGAGGTGGCTGGGTCACAGGCCAAGATGCTGTGGTACAAGCGTAGGTAATGCTACGTTAACGCAAGCCACCCCTCTGCAGAGCTCTTCCCCAACCAGTTACCTTCCCAGTGTAGGCCACCGTTCCAGCCCCCTCCCCCACCTATCACTTACTTCCTCTGTGTGGATCCCTGCCCCAGAAGTCAGGCACCTATAGTCAGCCACCTGCCTCTCCACTGCCCTCAGACACCTACTTTAAATGCTGACCTGATCCTTGGTGATGCACGGTGCTGGTGGTAGGTGGAGGAGGAACCAGCCAGCCCAGCAGCCTTCTCTGTGAGGGGCAAGGAGAGGCCTTTCAGGTTAAGAGACTTGTGCCAGGGTGCAGGGTCCCCAGTATACAAGGGGTTAACTCCAGTTCCCTTTCCCCAGCCCAGGCACAGATGTTAGGGGATAGGCAATGAGCAGGAAGGGGGAGAATGCCTAGGGCCTGGATCTCTACCAGCCTCAGGGAGAGGACTTGCAGCGGCTCAATCTCCAGGCAGCCTAGGACTCTGAGCACAGCTGAGCCACGGTAGGGCTGCTTGATTGACCACTCCACCTGACAGGCCAAGGAAGTCAGCAGTGACTGACCTCAGACTGCTCAATGCACATGCCTGCAGCTTCATTCCCAGCCTTCTTGCCCTGCTCCAGTCTGCTCCAGCCCCGCTTGGTTCCTGACTCTTGACCCTGGGTCTGAATCCTGCTTCTGGCTCTCACTCCTTGGGCATAGATACTGGCTTCTTGGCTCCCGCTCTGACCAGTAGGCCTGACTGCTCACACCCTGATTTGTGACAATTGAGACTCTGGGTTGATCCATAGCCTCTTACTCTCTTTGCTTGTCTTACCCTGTGTGGTTTGTGTCTGTTCAGAATCTCCTGCTGGAGTGACCTCCCTGCTTGCTGCTGGGGTTGGATTGAGCTCAGTCAGCCAGCCAGCCAGCTTAAACCTACATTCATACCTAGTCTGTACAGACCATTTATTAGAGAAGCCGGATGCTCTTATTCCCCCCAGCACGCTGGGCCAGTCTTCCGCTGACACAGTACTGTATTTTGAAACATGCACTGGGCAAAAATTACAGCAGACACTTGGGGGATCCTTCTGTACCCGATGTGGAATGGGATTGTTATATTAGCAAATTTTGAGGTATTGTATTAGCATATAACATTGGTAGTAGATCACTGTACCATGATCCTGTATGGAAGCAAATAGTTACATTTGCAAATTATTAGTGTTAATATTTATTATCATCAAGCAAGTGCTAGGTTGAGAGCCTGGCTGCCACATCCACCAACGCTTCACTACCGGGGGCACGGGGACAGCCACTCTCAGCTTTTGGGGCATCATGCCTCACGTGCTGCTTCCCCATCCACTGTGAGCTGTCTTGGCCCGCAGTGTTAGGATGGCTTTGGGAACATACGGACATCCACAGCCTCTCCACACACATCTCTTCCCTGATGCCCCATCCTCTTCCCTCCCCTGCCCCCCCCCCCCCGATACCTCACTTGGTTCCCAACTGCCAAGAGCAGGATTTTGCTCTGAGGAAATGGTCTGTTCATGCCATGTGTACAGACTCCATCCCCAGCCAAATGATAGCCAGCTCTGAGCCTAATGCTGCACTCTGTCCAACTGGCGCTTGTGGTTCTCAGCTGCATCTCAAGCTCTCAGCTTTGACCAGCTAATCAGGAAATTATATGCCTCCCTTATTAGCCAGGGCTGGTCTTGGTTTTGTGAGCCTCTAGTAGATTTCTGTAATCCAGGTAGCACATCTGAGGGTTGGATTGGCAGCTAGGGGGCCAGGGGTACATCTGGCTGGAGGAGCTAGTGATGAAGGAGACATAGGAGATTGCAGGCAGGTGGGGGCAAGGGTACAGTCATGTGTCATTTCTCGGTGCTTTCATGGCAGGTAGGATTTCAAAGGGAAGGTGCAGCACTTAGGGACCAGCATAAAGGCAGGAACGTAATTAATCTTACAAGGTGTATGTAGGTCGTGGCTGCGGGTAGGGGAAGCAATGGGTGCATGCAGTGAAGGGGATCTAACAGAGTGACACCCCCAAAAGTGCAGCCACGTTTGTGGGGCTGGGTATCTTTACTGCTTAGGTTGCAATCCAGCTTTGACTATTGCTGATATAAGTTAGCTTTACCATAGCTCATTAATTACTGAATGGTCCAGGGCCCATTGCAAAATCCAATTACAGGGGCTTATTGCTTTATTGCAGTTCAAGGTAGTGATCTACACAGAGACCAGGCTCTGCCTCAAATGATCACTCCTGATTGGTGTAGTTAGTGTGTATCTACTGTGAAAAAGATGTATTCAACCATACCAAAACAAGCAATGACAGCTTTGAAATATATTCCA